CTATTAAAAATGATGGTGGGGTATATCCCACCTATTAAATTTAATATAAACTTGAGAATCGAATACAGAATCGAAGAAAATCGCTAGGATCCTTAGGCACACACTACCAAATCTGAAGGCTCGGTTGCTGGCCAAGTAGGGCACGACTTTTTAAGGATTACTCCTTACTCTCCCAGTAGACACTCCGATAGGTTTCTTAGTTGGCTTAGGCTACCAAATCTAGGGATACGAATACCAAACAGGGTACAACTCCTATAAAATGTCATAAATCTCTAAGCATGCCCTGTAAGATTTCAACCCGAAAGTGATTGTTAGTTGCCTAATAGAGTTAACAGGTTTTTCTTTTATAGTTTCGTGAACTATAAGGGAGGAAGCGACCAATGTGGAACTGGGAAATGCATCAGCACAATATCGATCATCATAACACCAACTGGACAATCAATGTTATACGACACCTTTTCTGGAGAACACAATTTCAATGCTCGCTGGATCAGTATGTGAAATGACTTCGTATGAGAAACAACACATAGCAGATTATGGTGCCAGATATCATATGGAACTGTTTAATCGCCTTCACTTGGGATTGAACCGGTATTTTATGATCTGACCTGTGGAGTGCTAACCACTGCACTATGGATCCACAGGTCTCAATTTATATTTTTAAGTTTAAGAGAATATCATTTTTAATATAGATTTTTAAATTTCAAATTGAAATAGATCAGTTTAAAGTTAGTATTTCTGAAATATATAAGTTTAAATTGATAAACTTTTATAAAAGTTAAATTAGAAGTTTTTTTTATACAATCTTTTATATTTCAATATATTTTTAATTATAATAATCAGAGATTATATTATTATACAATCTAATTAAATTATTATTATTTTTTAATTTGATTAATTAAGCCATATTTAATATATTTTTTATATATATAACTTATATGTAATTATAGACAGTTATTACTTATAAAGTATTCTATATATTATTAGATTATATTGGATTTTACTTTTATAGCAACTTGTTATTATTAACTTATATCCAAAGATTTTGTATTAAGGCTAATATACTATTGTATTATTAGAATTATTATTATATATCAAATTTTATTTTTAATTGGAAATATATTAAGAAAAGTTAAATAAGAAAACCAAAATAATATTTATATAACAAATAGAACTTTATAAAGAAAATCTTTTAGATTCAATCACTTGCAAATAAATACAATATATTATTTAAATTTATCTTTCTTTAAGTTATCTAAGAATATTTAAAGAATTTATCTTATACACCTACTGTTTATATATTGTTTCAGTTATTAGTATTTATTGCTATTTTAATTACTTTTCCAAAATAAATAATAATCAAAGTAATTTATTATTAAATTAAAATAGAAACTTTTCAGTAACTTGTAAAAAAAAACATCAGATATTATAAAAAAATAATTATTAAATAGGTAATTATTTTTGAAGGTAACAAAAATATTAGATATGATTTTTTTAAATTCAGCTTTTAAACAATACATATATAATATAAATTTTAGAATTATATTAGAAATTTTTCAGTTTATCTTCAAAAATAATTACCCAAATCATTTTACTAAAAATAGATATTTTATATATTTTACAACTTTCATCAATTATTATAGTATTAACTAACTGAATAATTATTATATTACAATATCTTTTTTGAAAATCACAATTTTAATACTTGCTAAATCAGTATATAAATTAACTTCTTATAAAAAACAATACATAACAAGTTATAATATCAAATATTATATTAATTTTATTTAACTGCTTTTATCTAAGATTGAACTAATATTTGTGATCTGATTTGTAAAATATTAACTATTATATTATAGATTTATAGATTATTTAATTAAATTTAATTAAATTTAATAATTATTAAATATAATATATATAGAATATTTAGTAAACTTATATATAAATAATAATTTGTTTTTTGTAAATATTAAATTAAAACCATATATTTGAAAACCTGAAAATACTATTTATTAATTTATTAATTTATAAGTTTAATATTAATATTAACAATATAAAAATTTATATTTAATTTAAATAAAAATTTTAATAATTCAAAATATTAAAATAAAAATACATGTAAAATATTTTTTATATTTAATATATACAATATAATATTTTATTAAAAAATAACAAATCAATTTTAAAAAAAAAAAATTTTTTTTAAAAGCAAATAATTATTCCATTTTATTTTATTAATTATAAATTTAGATCTGTAAAACAAGATTACAATTATTAATAGTATAATATATATTTTTCTTTATTAGAAAGAATTAAATATAAACTTATAAAATAATTATACTTTTATACTTCTTAGTATTATTCAAAAAATACAAAAAAAAAAAAATTTCAAATCTATATTATAGCTTTGAATGGTATCTAATTAATTAGAAAATATTTGAATGTCTAATTATATAAAGGTACTATAGTTACTTTATATAGATTTGCTTACAAGTTATAAATAGGATTAATATATTTGCTTCTCAAATATGACTTGATATTTGACAAGTGACATAGTATTGAAAATGATTAAGTTGTAATTATCTTTTTACATGAAAGTACTATAGTCACTTTATATAGGTTTGCTTTTAATTTACAAGAAAAATTTGATATATATGTTTTTCAAATATAGCAAAAGTGTTCTATAGGTAAAGTTTTATATTAGGATTTTTTAATAATATTAATATCTAATCTTATACAATAAACCTATATTATTAAAAAATAAGTAAAGAACTTTTATTATTGTTATTAACTCATATTATAAAAATAATCAAAATTCTTGATCTTTATATATTATTCTATTAAATTGATTTAATCACTAGTATAACACTTACTACTAATCTAATTTTATTATTAGTTATATTGATATTAACTATTATATTCTGAATATTGTGAAATATAACATAAAAGAGAAAAATTTTCAAAGTTTATATTTCATAAAAATTTTATTACTTCTTGTATAATTTTTGAGAGAAGAGGGTCTATTGACTAAGAAAGTGATAAGATGAAAGATAATATATTGAAAAGAGAAAAAAACCTAAAAAAAAAAAAACTTCAGGAAAAAGAAAAATTTTACTTTTGCAAGTAAGAAAAAAAAAAAAAAAAAGAAAATGATATATAAAGGAAGTTTGTAGAAAGAAAGAAGAGAATAAAAGAAAAAAAAAATAATAATATGAAAAAGAAAAAGTAGAAAAAGAAAAAGAAAAAAGGAAAAAAAATAAACAACTCAAAAAATTTTTAAAAAGAAAATTTTCAAGTATAGAAAAGAGATAAGAAAGAGTTTTTTTTTTAATTATCAATTTTAAACTTTTTTTAATCTCAAATTGTTATTATATATAATAATTTAATTTAATTTATATATTGTATTTTATTGAAATTTACAAATTATTAATTTAATAAATATTATTATTTGAAATAATTATTTAATTATTATTAAAATATATAAAATAATTAAACTTGATATAATTATTTTTAAAAAATTTTTAAATACATACAATTAACTATATTTCATATACATGTATAATTTGTATATATTTTTTTTAAACAAAAATAATTTTTTAAATAATATTTTATATTACATAATATACAGTATGATTTTGAATGATTTAAAGAAAAAAACTTTTTTTTATTTACTTTATTTTTTTAAAAAATTTTTTCATTTTCTTTTTTAATAAAAAATTAAAATCTTGTAATAGATAATGTTTAAGATATGTTAATATTATATATAATCTTTTAATTATGTGAAGTAATTCTTTAATTTATATAAGATTAAATAATATTTAAAGGACTCTTGCTTAGTGAGATACTATATAAATGAATCAATAACTGCACATAAAAATCTAAAATAAAAAAAAAAAAAAAATTTATAAAAGTTAATAAGACTTATGCGTACTGATTATCACAAGCTTTGAGAAAAACTTTCGGTTTTTCTTTCTTATGCCAATACCAATATCGATACTGATGCCAATAGTGAGTTTAATATCATTCTTGATCAATAAGCAATTTAAAAAAAGCATTGTAAAAAAAAAAAGAAAAATTTATTGCACACTGTACAATATCATTTATTATGTTTGCAATTAACTATTTGATTTTTAAATCGTAATAAACGGTTAATTGCTTAGATTACTTTATTATTAATAACATTTATTAGTTTTAAAATTCTTTGCTTTTTATCTATCAAGTTTTACTCCTTTAATTTACATGTCTTTATGAATGCCTCAATTCCGCCATCTAATTTCACATAATGAAAGAACAAAGGGTTAAAATATGCAGAGTTGAACAAAAGCCAATATTTAAATAATACTTGCATCTTCAGTTGATGATCTTTACCGCCACTGGCAACCTTTTCACCGCTCGGACTCCAATCCACACTAAATACCTGTAAAATGCGCAGTCAAAATTAAATAGATTGCATAAGGACACGGTAGAGGTTTCTTATTCAGGGAAATCATTCGAACCTCATCTAAATGTCCAGGCAGGTCCATTTTTATTTTTTTTGTTTTAAGATCCCAAATTTTTAAGGTGCTGTCTTTGCTCGCACTTATCAGCATGCGGCTATCGGAGGACCAACATACTTGGTATACTGGACCAACATGACCTCGCAAAGATGCGATAAATCTTTATGTCGATTAGTAGTTTGTTGATGGCAGAATCTATTAGAGTGATAATGACAATGATCACGTACTTGCCAGTAAAACCATCCCATAGTTTCACAGAGTTATCAAAACTAGCACTGGCGAATAAACTCCCGTCTGGTGAAAATCTTACGTGGTTCACTAACTTTTGGTGACCGGTAAGTCGGGCTAGTGGTTTCTTATTTTCTGATGGTTCCCAAATAAACATTGTGAAATCGTCAGAACCGGAAACAAGCCTTTCGGGCCTATCCCTGGTGGCAGCTTTGTATCTTGCTAAAGCCCATTCTTTGGCTATGGTTTATAAGTCCATGCTTATTGAATAGCTAATAATATATTACAAAAAAAAAAAAAAAAGTAAAATTATGTATACCTTCCGTTTCATCTTTGGGTTTTTTGCCCGTGTGATCGATGGCTCCAGTTCTTAAAACAAAATCTGTACTTAACGCCATTGTATTAACCCAATGGCCATGCCCCTCCAGTGTCCTGATTAACTTACCCTACCGCAACATCAAAGTTATAGTTTATTCAGTTGCCAATATTTGACACAGCACGAACAATCACAAGTACCTGAGATGCATCCCAAACTTTTATTGTTTTATCGCGACTCGAGGAATAAAGTAACCCATTTCCTCCCCATTTTATGCACGTCACGGCCGCAGTATGATGCGTCATTGTCATAACAACGCGACGTAATGTCGTATCCCATATTCGAACTGTGCCATCTTTAGATGAAGAAGCCATTCGATTGCACTTTGAATTTCTAGATATGTTATAGCCCAAATTCATTATTATTCATTAAAAATTTTCACCGAATAAATATAGAGCCATACAGATGAAGTGGTTCCCATGTCAAACAGGTTATCCACTGCGAGTGCCCTTTCAATGGGTCACCTATTGATTTCCCCGTCTCTGGATCCCATAGCCGAATCTAATGAATTTATAGATGTGATTCATTCGTATATCATGAAAATTTTGATGGTTATCACTAACCGTTTTGTCCATGCTACCAGATGTCAATAATTTCCCATCTGGTGACCAAGAGATGTACAATACCCAATTTGCATGACCTATATTTGAATAAAATCAGTGGCATAATAATAATAAGTCAATCACATAAGCGTGAAAAAAATCGTACCTGAACAAGTGTAATGAAGTGTATCCGTGTTGAGATCCCATATTCGGACAGTAGCATCTCCTGAATGGTTGAAATCCAATATGGAAAAAGAATTAATGATTGTGGAGCGTAATGAAGATGACAAATGATAAAAGCGCATGCCTGATCCAGTCGCAAGTTGATTACCATCGGGACTAAAGCTAACCGACAAGATCGCATCGCTATGCCCTAAACGTAAGGATTAACATTAATTTTACGATCTCCCGTCAGAAAAAACATCATAAATAGATACTTCACCGCTTAAAGTGGAACTACATCTCGTCACAGCTCTAACTTTAAATATTGCCTGTGGTTGGTACACTATTTTTAATACATCTTCAGTTGATTTCTGAAGGCCTTGTATGATGTCTTTATAGAGGGAAGTTGTGATTTCCCTTTGATCAACTGAAAAAGCATACGGGAGATGTTCATCCTAGAGTAAGATATACAAAAAGACATCAATTTTGTTGTTTTGTAGATGAATAAACTGAAATTCCTTACATTGTTCAGTAATTGATTGATCAATAATCCTAGTTGTTCGGGAGTGACATTGACTGGCAAACTTAACGGAGGACCGGTGCTCTCTCCATTAATTGTAGTCAATTGAGCAATAACAGTCCCTAAACTCTCTTCTTCATGATTTTCAGAAGAAACTTCAGTTTGTGCCTTCTTTTTCGCCTTTAATTTCGGCGGTCCCTTAGTCGCCATCTTTTCGTATTAAAAAATTTCGATCCTATATTTATAAAATTTACTGTAACACAAAATCTAACGTTAATCAGATAATTGAATTTTATCTTATCAGAGATATTGGAACCTTCTTTTATGTTGTCACGTGCGAAACACAATTTAACTGCATTTTTTATACACCATGGTTTATCGATCCTGTTCAAGGTTTTTAAAGTTATCTATAAATCATATACTGCTTTGAAAACAATTAACCACGCGTTTCGGAATAATGGCTAATGTTGAATCGGGTATTTTTTCCGTTCATGGGCAATTACTTTCTTAAGGGAATTTCTAATCATATATCTAATGCATATTAACAGCCAAAGGAGTTGAATGCTACACTGTCGGCATTCTAACAGGTACGACGGTCGTTTGAATCCGGGAATATAATTTTGATAGGCTTATATAAAAAAATATTCTACCCAACATCTTAGTTAGCGATACGTCATCAAAAGACTCCACAAAAGATCTAAGTGGTCCAAGTTTAAAAAATATTTTGGAGTCCAAAAGAGTTTTTAGTGTGTTAAAAACCAAGATTGTCCCAGATGAATTTGACGAAATACAGGAAACTGTTAAACAATGGTGTGATGTCGAAAAACTCGATTTGATAGTCACCACCGGAGGAACAGGCTTTGGAGTTAGGGATATAACTCCCGAAGTAGGTATAACTTTCTCAACGGCGGTCTGGTAACAGGGAATTAAACGTGCGATTTTAAAATTAGGCAATCCAACCACTCTTGCACAAATTGTGCCCGGGAATTACTCAAAAAATGGTGTCGGATTCTCTTCAGAAAACACCTTTTGCTGCTCTTAGTCGACCAATCAGCGGAATCAGGGAAAAAACTATTATTATGACAGTTCCCGGAAGTTTAAAAGGATCGAAAGAAAATGCGGAAGCGGTGATAGACATATTACCTCATGCCATCGATTTGATAAGAGGTGGAACTGGTGAAAATGTACATTCGCAACTACGTGATCATCAATGTGCAGGTGATTTTCATCACAAACATGACCATGCTAAAAATGTGTCGACACGTTCATTCTTGTCAGATCCTCTTTCCGGACCCGGTAAGACGATGCAAATAAAAACATCTTGCAAATCATAGACATGAATTTTAACTGGATCTTGTCATTTTAGTCACGCAAAGACAACGAAAATCGCCATATCAAATGATCTCCGTTAAGGATGCATTGAGTAAAATTACTGAACACGCTAATACCTTGCCAATTATCACTGTTCCGGTGAATCAAAACTTGATTGGTGCGGTTCTGGCTGAAAATGTAATAGCAAAAGAACCGGTGCCAGGGTACCGCGCTTCTATACTTGATGGTTATGCTGTTGTAGGTGCGTTTTTGTGGGATGAGTTTATTTAAATCGTTGTAACTAATCACATCATTTTCAGCAAACGATGGCCCGGGGATTTATCCCGTGGTTGGTGTCTCTATCGCAAGCGGAAGTTCCGAATCTTTCGATAAGGAATTAAAACCAGGCCAGATTACTCGTATTACCACCGGGGGGCCTGTTCCTCCTGGTGCTACGGCCGTGGTAATGGTTGAGGACACGACTCTCGTACGTGCGTCGGCTGACGGATTCCAGGAAATGGAAGTTCAGATTCACGTTCAGGTTCGTGATAATGAAAACATTAGAGAAGTCGGATCTGATCTCAGTGTTGGAACGGTTGTTGCGCGTAAAGATGAGCTTGTAACAGCGGTGGGTGGTGAAATTGGAGTTCTGGCCTCTGTGGGAGTAAAGGAGGTAAGTGAACGACGTTTGTTATTTCCAATGTAATCCACTATAATTATTGATTTATTGATTGTTCTAAGGTGCAAGTGTATAAGCGACCGGTACTCGGTATTTTGTCTACCGGAAATGAAGTTGTCGACCATAACGATCTTTCGGAATTAAAGTATGGTGCGGTTCGCGACAGTAATCGACCTGCACTATTGGCAATTGCAAAAGCTACTGGTTTTGAGGCTAAGGATTTTGGTATTGTCGGTGACGAGTAAGTTCGTTATAAAAATGATGAATTTTTACATATACATATTTTTATATGCAAATACATTTTATTTATTCTAATAAATAATTATATATTGAAAGTCCTAAAGAAATAGAGCGTACTTTAAGATCAGCCCTATCTCAGGTTGACGTGTTAGTTACCACCGGTGGTGTCTCTATGGGCGAACTTGATCTACTTAAGCCAATATTGGAACAATCATTGGGCGCTATCATTCATTTTGGAAGAGTGAAGATGAAACCAGGGTAAGATCTCTTTGGAATTCAGGTTTCATGAATGGCTACATCATAGTTATGGATTTTCTTGTTCATAGGAAGCCAACCACATTCGCTACAATTCCGGGATATTCTCCCGACGGTCAAGAAAAACTAATTTTTGGGTTACCCGGAAACCCTGTCTCCGCAGTTGTAACTTTTTATTTATTTGTATTACCAACCCTTCGAAAGATTTCTGGATACGAGAATTGGACTTTGCCGATATTGCAAGCCGAGGTAAAGGAGAATCTCCTAATTCATGACCGGTCACCATTTGTTAAAAATTTTCTGATTAATTTCATTTGTCCTTATAGCTGACAAACGATATATTTCTCGATCCGAGACCAGAATATCATCGGGCGATAATCTCTTATGATAGAGAAAAAGGAAAATTATTGGCCAGCTCAACAGGCCATCAAATTAGTAGTCGAATTCTTAGCGTGAGGAGTTGTAATTCTTTATTAATTTTACCTGAAAAAACTGATGAACTTACTAAATTGTCCAAAGGAACTACTGTTGATGCTATGTTGATAGGACAGTTGCATTGATAAATTATTCATTTGTATGTCATATAGTACATCTACATCTCGAAACAATATTATATTTAAAAGCAATTATTCCAATTAAATTCTTATTATGTCGATTCTATATATCACGTGATTCGAAATTGCGCGTGACGAGTTACGAGATTGTCGCGTTATGAAATGATAAGTCTTTGCTTCGTAAATCGAAAAGACTTTCATACTTTACATTACAACCTGTTTCTCTTGTTTCTGTTATTCTTGCAATATGGCAAATAACGATTCGGAGATCTTGATTGAACATTTCGAATTTTCGCCAATTTCCGTAATTGATGATGTGATCGATTCAGTGAATGAACTTATGTATCAGGCGCTCATTGGGCTAGAAAGATTTGTTGAGAAGAAATCAAAATCCGAAGAAGAAATTGAGCAGGTTTGAAATAACCTTATTCATATTATCTACAATATATATTTAATTTTTATCATTTCATTTTTAAATGATCATGCAATAAAGGGTATGCACCAGGTAGAAACATTATTGGAAACTTTAATCGACCATAACTTTGACATGTTCGAACTTTACGTGATGAGAAATATTTTTGCTATACCCGAAAATGTTAAAATAGTTTTACCGCATCAAGAGGTCAATTGATTTATGATTTTGTCTTATCTGGTTTTGCTGGAACAATTGAGGATAAGTTTGTGTAAATATAAGTTTCTTCCTTTATGAAATGATCGAATAATCAGGGAATGGATTATACCTTAGATCAAAGTAAAGAGGATCAAATCGACAAGGAACTGGAACTAATGCGGAAAAAAGTCTTGGCTGTAATGAGATTTCCCATTAATCAATTTACTTGTCATTTCCGAATGCAAATATCTAATGAATAAGAAATTTTCTTAAAACGTAAAGGCGAAGGCAATGAATTATAGACTGGAGAACGAATTGTTAAAGACAGATTCACGAATCAAACGTATGGAACGACTAAAGGAAAAATTAGAATTCATATTTACTGCACCTAAAAATCATAATGGTAAAGCATTGTCGGAGTATTCTTATAACAGCGATCCACAATTTCCGCGTGCATTTACTTTTAATGTTCTATTTTTCTCTTAAAAAAAGTGAATCCAACGGCCGAGACTATTCGCCTGGTAGTTGATCAACTTTTGGCGATCAAAAAGATTACCAATAATCTTCATAGCCAAGTCAACGAAGAAAAAATGAATCAATACGCAAACACGAGCGATAGACGCGAAGCATTTGTTAGCACGATGGTACTGAGACAAACTGAGCAAGTGAAGATGCAGCAACGAGAAAACCGCCATGATACCGATGAAGATGAGCGATTGAGAAAAAGAGCGAGAATCGACAATGATGAAGAAACATCAAAAGCTATAGCTCAAGAATTAAAAGGTTTAGAAATGATCAATAATCTGTTCACGGTTTTGAATCAAGAATCTGACAGACAAGAGTAATATGCATTCTGTCCACTACTTTTATGATGTCAATTATTACATGATTTAATTTTCCTCTCTTGTAATTATTAAAATCAACTTTGCATTTCTTCTCTTATCTACCAATCTAATTGGTTCACCGTAATGTTACATTTAATTTCTCTTTCACCGTTTCTCTTAATTGTTCTTGTATTTTATTTATTTCTTCATTTGTAAAAGTCCTATAAATAATATCAGCATGTATTAATACAAATGTATCTAACCGTGAACGATCCATCTAATCGTGCTATAATGAATGAAATAAGCTTTACCTATCCATCGATCTGTAGTTTATTCGGTAGCATACACTTCTTTTCTTGGTTTTCGGATGTGTGAAATCATCGATCTAAAATTAATAATAATAATCTTCGTTGACTGATTTGATATCTTTAAGAATTAAACCGTTAGGAAATAAAAACCAACCAATTGCACGTCCTCTGCCAAGTCTCCGGCGATGTCTCTTACGATTTCACAAAAATTGTTTTCGTGGAATTCTTGCCCGCTTTCGTCATTAGTCCAAAAACTTATGTCTTTGATGCATGAAGGATACTTTGAAAACATTTGAAATTTTGTAATTTCGCCCGACTTAAATTGATCCGAGAATCGTGGGTCTTGTGACCAGAATAGACGTATGTCGGGTATGTCAAATAATATCATAGAGATACGCTCTAAACCTAACCCAAACGCCCAGCCTATCTTGTCTGGTTTACCTTTTTCGATTATTGGATTATATCAAAGGTAATTCATTATCATCTTAATTTACAAATCTAACAATATTCACTTAATTCTAAAATTGCTTGTAATACCGGATTTATTAAGGAGTTCTTGTTTAACTACTCCGCATCCACAAATTTCTAACCATTTTCCATTGTAAAATATTTCCATCTCCCAACTTGGACTCGTGAAAGGGAAATAAGCGTCAATCCACCTAACTTTTAAATCTTTTTCGTCCCTGAACAATTTTCTAACCATAACATTCAATGTGTGTTTTAAGTGCGCAATGGTCGCATTTGCGGCCTCAATCGGGTGACACGGTTGTATTGGATTTGTAGACCCAATAACCGTATTATCATCGGTTCTTATGGACTCTGTCAGTTGGGAAGGATTTCGATTCATGTCACTCAGTGTTTCTTCGACCGCATTCGATGTATTAAAAATCTGTGCCCCTTCCATTTGATGGAATATGGGATAATGACATGAGTCAATCTCGTCCCTTCTATAAACATCGGCGCTAATTAGAAATTTTTCGGCGCCAGACCTAAAGGCCTGAAGTTGGTGAGCCGATGTGTGAGTTCTTAACATTATGGACTTGTTGATATAATAGCTATCAGTGGTACTTCGACCCGGGTGATCCTTTGGAAATCCAAGGTCATCAAAATTTTGAGCTGTCGTGACAATGGGGCTAAATGAGTTGAAATAATGGAATCCATCGAAATGCGATTCAATGTAAGCGCGAAGAATCGAAATAGGATGCAGTGGCTGCAAATGCAATCGGCGTGTAGTCTTCGATAAGATGTTGGGCGTCACATTCGTCAACTCATCCCTTGAATATAGATTTCCTCCTACGAAAACATTCTGATCGGTGATGTAGGGTTCTGTCGCATGGGCGAACGATACATCATTCTTCGTATCCGCTACGGATGACAAGATGGGATTGCCCACATTACCTTTATCAACCGCATTACTGATACTAGAGAGAAATTTGTTCTTTCTGCAAGCTGGTATCCGATAGAAATTTCGAGTTAAGAATTTGGTCGAAAATGAGTTGAATCTGCTTACACAACTCATAATTTTATCTTTTCGGTTACGTGTTATAGTGCATTTATATATAAATTCTTAACATTTTGCGTAACATTGCTTTTTTTTTTTTTCTTTTTTTTTTTTTTTGGGTTATCCCAGTAGGTAAACATCATTTCTTTATTTGATATTGTATATTACAAGGTATACAT